AAGTAAGAGAAATCTTTTATAAGTGCGATGCACTATCTTTCAGAATCACTAGCTAATATGGAAATTATTTCAACTCCAGCCATCAGATGTTTGTTGTTAATAGACACGCTGATAGAATAGAAAAATATCTTTGGTGTGTATGTTAAAGAAGTTGCCCATAACAACAAGTCAAAATCCTTCTTGTGTGTTCGAATAGAAAAGTAGTATTGTCTGTACGATATGTGACTGCTTTCTAGTGAATTTGTTATTATCGCACTGAAACTGACGACATAATCGGGATTAAAATTAAAAGCCAGAGTCATTTGCACATGTCGCAAGATTTCGATTTTTTTCAACAAATATCTTCCTTGTCTTTCATGTGGTTTAAGCCAAATTCCTCGCCTCGACATAAATGTCATTTGAGCTTGCAAAACCTTTTCAAATGTCACAAATGCTTGAAAGTCACAATAGCAAAGGTGAACAAACAATACAAGTCGTTTTTCGACAGAATTGAGTTTTTGAGGTAACTCTCAAATTCAACAGAGGAAATTTTTCGAAGAAAATTTAAGTATTCGAAGATTTGGTAACACAGAACTCCATGCAGTCTGACTACACGTTTGATCCAACAAAACTCACGTACTTGAATATCACCATTGATTCGACAGTAAACAATGAAAAATGGATTGAAAATTATGTAGATAATACACTAGAATCATATACACAACGTTTTGACAAGTAAGATAGCAAAAAGCTTGAGCTTTGCTACTTATGGAAATGTGGGGAAAAGTATCATATAGCTTTGCATATGAAAGGAATCAGAGACAGACAAAGCCTATTGTCAGGCAAAGTGAACAATCTCAGATGACCTTCTCTAGAAGTTTTTTAATGGAGTCCAAATAGAAGACCATCTTTGAATACAAATGTGAAAGTACGTAAACAAATACTACGGTCTTCTGTTGTGGAAGGGTTCGTTACTCATGGATGCCTAAATTTGCGTCTATTGCTCTATTTTCGTATATTTGTGCGTTGCAAAAGACATATTTTAACAGAAAATCTTCTTAAATATGCCTGTTCTTGTACCAGTTTGAATATATGATAGAGATTAGCATGTTGTGACGTATTCATAGATTCTTGAAAAAGGATATTACAGAACTGATCTTGTCAAATTGTATAACAATACAGAGAAACGAATTGGTCAATGTCACTTCTGGTGTCCATCAACGGAGCAGAAAACAGTGAATATGACATTTTTTGTGATTCTGTAACTCATTCTCCAAATTTTTGGGCTTTTTAAATGTTTTTTTACTTCTAGGGATTCCTTGACGTCATTCGTAGATTTGTAGAGTGCATTACATTTTTCGGAATTTTTCTGCATAGCCTCATTTTTAGTATTTCATCTGATTATAATGAGCTTTTTCGAATCTTTTCTCTGCTCCCATGGTCTGTCCGACGTCGTCTATCTTTGAAAAGCTTCTATAAGAGTTTTCAATTTTGTGGAAATTTGGAAACGCACAAAGACTGAAATATTCGAAACGTACCATAGACGACAAATGCTGTATCGGTGTCACGTCCAATCTGCCATTCTTGTTCGTTAGCACCATTGTATAAATAAGGACCTTTGGCCAACGGAAACATGGCGAGAACGAATGGGTCAGTAGAAGCGAATGGAGTTTCATCATTGTTGGCACCGTATTGTTGGTTCTGAATCGACGGATCGACAATTGCCATGAGTGATGAGTTTCTTGAGGTTAGTTCAGGTACCTAATTTATCAACGAACGACAATTAATCGATGTTCACGTTGTCTAACAGTGTGATCAAATTACCTGTTGTAGTCGTTGGAGAGTACGATTGGACGAAATTACTGCACAGACGACAACACTCACCAAGATTAATTGGACGAGACAACGTGAGATGAACATGAAGACTGTACGGAAAGATTGAAATTTTGTTAAAAGGGATAGTCTGTGCTGCAAAATTATAACGCAAACGTTGCAGATAGGAAGAAGAAGAGCTGGATTCAACATAAAGGAAGCATGACATAGGACACACGAAAATGAACAAGAAACGGAATAAACACTAGAGAACTTTCCAAGGTGAACTAGTTATGACACATTTGTGCACGTTTTGCCGTTGTTTTGATGTGTATTGAACACTGACGATAACGTTCAAATTGCCTACTCATCGGATAATGGCAAACATCATGAGGAAAACAAGAAACTCAAAGTGGCTAGACGAACACTGGTAAATGCGACATTTCAATGGTTATTGTTTTATGGAAGGTGAAAAATGAAAAAGCAACCTGACATTGATTCTTTTTCTTCAATGCTTAAAAGAACATCGCTGACTGAAAGCGTTATTTTTCCTGTATTTTGATCGATTGGGTGAGCGGAAAGTACTTCGCGTCATCTTCCTTGGCTTTTCTTCAATGAAACAAGAAAACCGCTGTTTGAACGACTACACCTCGCCTGAGTGGACTCTAGTCCATGAGTGCTACGAAAGAGAAACGCGTTTGGTGATAGATATGATCGAGTCACTATAGTGCATATGGAAAAATGAACCGTGTTCTTGTGCACAAAAACCGATACGAATCTAATACATTGAGTAAAAAAAGCTGTTAGCGCAATCCCTTCCCAAGCAGACAAGAATTTGGAAAAACGCGTTTAAATCCTACAATCGGGAACCGCGATTGTGATCCACTCACGCTCAAAAAAATAACGCCGTTTTTTGCGTGTTTCGCGTTTTTTTCGCTTAATTTTCACTTTTTGGCCGTGAAAACGGCGAAAACCCCACTTTTTGAGCGTTAAAACGTGCTTTTACTTCTGAAGTTTTCTGGAACTTAAAAATCAAGCGTTTTAGCGCTCAAAAAGTGGGTTTAAACGCGTTTTTCCAAATTCTTGTCTGTTTGGGTTGCGGGATTAAAAATGTGCAACACGATGGATCTATTATTATTAGTTAAATGGAAATCGTTTTGTTCCATTTCTTTGCGATACATTTGTAAGCTAACCCTTTATCTGATGCTTTAGAACTGCAGTTTCTCTGTCACGGTCTCTGACGGATACCAAGCTCTGTCTTTCACTGTCTGTGACGGTTTATTAGTTAATTAGATACTAATTAATTAATTAATTAAGATGTCTCTCACGATCTTTGATGGGTCTCGGGTCTGCCTGGTTACGGTCTGGGATGGGACCGGGCCTGTCTGTCACGGTCTGTGATGGATGCCGGGCCTGTCTGT